GATTGATTGTGAATTACAGGCAGATCAATCTGAGGGCTCAGAACTGTCAGAGTCAGACACATGTGTAAGCATTCTGTATGGACTTGATACATCTGAGCTGTGGCTTGGTTGAAGGAGATGGCATGTGTCTTCCACTTGGTGTAGGTGACTAGTTCTAGCATTATTCTAAGAATCTTATTGACCAGTTCTGGGTGAAGAGCTTTTTCAAGCATTCTGATAAGGACATCATTGAACCCAAGCATGAATCCTGCCTTCTGGGCCAGGATATTGAACTCCTGAAAGAAGGCATTGGTGGAATGTTTGCCCTGTTACAGAGATGTAAGCTTATTCTGTGTATTGTACTTCTCATTTGGATTGATGAAGGAAGCACAGAGCTACCCCATGAATTCCAAGTACAACTCATTGTTCTGAAGTTGGATCAGGCTTCTGATCCAATGACCTTCAATCCAGTTCTAGGCCCAGGTGGTCACATTGCCTTCCTTTATGAAGGAGAGGACAAATAGGACACAATTGAGATCTGAGGATAGATTGGTCAAAGTAGTAGCCACATATAGTTCAACTTGGTGCTGGAAGTCCTTGAAGTGCTGCCCATTGAAGTCTGAAGGGTAGGCTACATGTACTTTCTTTCCAGAACAGGTTGTAACTTCTAGAACAATCAGAACAGGTTCTGAAGGGGCTGGGTGTATGTGGTTAGTAAAGGCCTCTTGGATAGAGGTCTGTATGTATTAAGCTAGTTCTGCTTGTAACTGCTGATCCAGCAGGACAGTAGGGGTGTCAGTCAGTATAGTAGGGTCCATGTCTACACTACAAAGGGATCAATACTAAACTAAAAGGGGTAATGAATAGAAGAAGGGTGGCAAAAGTTTAAAAGGGTTTAGAAAGTTTAAAATTTAAAAATGTAAAAGGGTCAGGACAAAGGAAAGAGATTGATACAATGGCAAGTACTGATGCCCAAAACATAGGAGAGTTGTAGGGTGGTAATGGGTAGTCTTGATCTGATGTTAGTGACAGTGTAGAGGGGACCTGAAGGCTCAGCAAGGGGACCCAGGCTACAACTATCCTACACAACAGAAATACAGAATGCAAGCACTGGAATGTAGTTGGAACTTGTGTAATGGGCAGAGAGAGAGAGTGAGACAAGAGTAGAGTATATAGAGTGAGCCTAAGAGTACAGGACTACCTAGAGTAGACAAGATCAAGACTACAGGACCAGTCTGATCTTGTACACCTATATATACTAAACTACACAAGAGTACTCAGGGAGTATGAGCCACTAAGAATGATAAGCCACAAAGAATGAAAGAAAGGAATGTCAAAGATAAAGGTACAAAGAATGAAGGGATGGACAAAGGGTAAGAGACCATAGAATGATACAAAGAATAAAGGGGTAGTCAAAGGAATGGAATGATGAAGTAAGGAAGGGTGGTGGCAAGAGTCAGCACACATATAGTCTATAGACAGTGCCCCTGAGGGATGGAAGTCCTGAGTTCCAGTATGGAAGGGTGCAGAACCCTTGGAACTGAAGGTACAAGAGCAGAGAACTGTAACACAAACACCTTAAAACTATGAGGCTATTGTGATACAGACAGACGAATGACAGAAGGACATAAAGCAATAAACAGCTATGTCTTTCAATTAGCTAAATCAACTATATCCTGGTCAAGCAAACAGTAAAACATGGTACTACTATCTGTTTACAAAGTAGAGTTGTAAGTACTAGTGTATGCTACTCAAGAAGCCATTTGGCTCAAACGATTCACTGAAGAAGTACTGTAGACTGAATCAGCACCCATTACAATTTATTACAATAATCAAGGTGCAATAAAGACTGTAAAGTCTGACAAAATAATGTACAATGCTTGCACTAAACACCTTGATTTACAAAAAGACTTTGTGCAATATTACATTCAAAACAATTACATCAATGTATGCTATGTCCAATCATAGAACCAATTAGCAGACATCCTTACAAAAGCTCTCCACGTCCTGCAGATCAAGCATCTAATTGAACTATTAGGCATACAGTCCTAGTTCTTAATTAATGCTTGAAGGGGAGTATTAGATTGCACTCTGGATTAGGAAATCCCTAATTGCCTTATGTAGAGTTACTGCACTTGGAATGTCTCAGACTATCAGACTTTACTATGTAGCATATAAGGCAGACACTTGCTTGATGTCTCAATAAGAGAGAGTTTGGGGGCACTCCTACTATGCTTGTTAAAACAACACCTGATTCTGACTCTGTTCTTTCTGTGTTGCTATGAACCTCACATGCCCGACACCATTTTCGTCCAATTTTTTTCATGTACAATTAATTACTATCTGAATTTCTGATGCACAGGTCATAATTGCAACAGCATTGTCAGCCGAAGGGACTTTCAGGGCCTTGTAAACAAAACTAAACGATATACGTCTGCCACTTTATCTGCTACCTGCTTGGGCACCTCTATATCCTCTCCACCATCCCAGCTTGTGACAAGTATGACGTCCACTTTACCTTGTCCCAGCCAGTTCAGGCCAATGGAGCTAAGTTTATGGGTTTTAGCGCACGTCATTTGGAATATGACAAAAGGCTTGGCTGCGTCGTTGACACGTGCAACCGCGTCGAAGGTAGGCTGATTTGCTGCAACTAGTGTATAAAATCCGATCTCCTGTGGCGGCGGACTATCTTTTTTAAAATAACGATAACCCACGGGAACAAAGGTTTCCGAGGCCAGTGCATCAGGGTCACCCTGAAGTATCTGCAAAAATACATCCTTGTGTCCGATGCGAAGGACGTGCTCCTCGCCTGCAGGGTTGCGTTTCCAGTGAGAGTTTTTTGGTGGTGCGTCAGTTCTATCCATCTTTGTCATGCCCCATTGACCACCGTCCGGAAGTACCCTTAAGGCAAATGACTCCAGCAGATGGCCAGCAACGGCCCTTGTCTTCTGGTTTAGTAGGAACAAGGCACAGATCGCCCTAGCTTCTTGCATGTTCTCCTCCAAAAGGCGACTAATGGTTAAATCTGCGAGCTTTCTTGTCGGGATCGTGATATTGAATTCAGTACGATCACTGTCATCCGTAGGGTACGCAACAAGCACTTTGTGGGATAAAGTGTCTTCGAAATAACCATAGGGCACCTGGGCAATTCCTTTTCGAAGGTTTTGTGACGAAGCAGGACCAAGCTTCTCTTGAATGACCTTTAAGTACCGATCCGGGTTTCCAGCAAAACGGAATGCTCCACGCGCCATGGGGCCGAATTCCTCGTAAAATGCTCTTAGCTGCATTTCTTTCCGCCGTCTGACCTGTGTACCCATCCTGTAGAACTCATAGTATGTAGCCATTATAAAACTTATAGCGAGGATTGGCAACTTACGCTTCGTAGAGCTCCTTCTCTTTGAAAGGACGCATCCAAAGTCGAGGAGATTCTAAGTCATCTCTAAACGTCATCCGTTCTGACCTTGGTGACGTTGCGACAACAATGAGCCGAGGAGTTGTTCTGCATCTCTTGAAAAGGAAGAGAGGTGCGGGACCGACGTCTTCATTGCTATCGACCAAAAACCAAGTTTCCATTGGCAAGCGATAAACCACAGTATCCAGTTGATCAAGCGTCATGGAATATATTCCACACGCATGGAAAATAAGGCAACGTCCTTTCCTATAAAGCAGGACAGTTGACTTCTGCGCGAGGAGACGCAAGGCGAGAATGTAGTACAAGAATAAGCTCTTCCCTGCAAAAATGATAAATGATGTACATACACAGAAAGCAACCTTGAAAGCGACTCACCAATTCCTGGTGTTCCGGTGACAAAAATGCAAGATGCCTTGTCCGAGAGAACCTTCTGGACCTGCAGTTCCTTGAATGGGTTGACAGGCGGAAACTTATCTTGCAGTGTTCTGACGTCGATTCGATGATATCCAAACGCATCGCCTCCAGAATCATGGAGAGCCTTGAAGAGTGCAGACAGCATGACCGCATACTCGTCCCTGATGTAAATTGCAGAGCATTTAAAGATGGCTTCCAAAATATCTGGAATAGAATCTTCAATGGTCCATGACAGGACAGTGACTGAATCGGGTAAGGATAGCGGAACACGATTGGCATCGTCGTCACGAATAATTAGGAATTTGTGAAAGACACCTTCCGGATCCCTGACTTTCCAAGCGATGAGGTATAAAGAAGCCAAGCTATTATCCGAGTCGGTATTGTTTGGCATAACTGGCTCAGCACCAGCTTTTAGGAGATACCCTTTCAGAGGCTCCATCTATGCCGAGCTGAATATTGCCAACAGTCTGGGATGCGGAGAGTGGACGTGCAGAGATGTGGGTGTTGATCGAGCAGTCTGGGATGGGTCAGCCAACCCGTTAAAGGCGCACGCTGAGAATGACATACCAAAATAGGGAATAGGAATAAATTGGTTATTTTAAATGGTTCAACGCGGGTGCTTGACCTGCCATCGTCGCATACTTTGCTCTCCGTTACACAATTTCCTTCAACTGACACAGGATGCAAGGGAACAACGTTTGGGATTCCATGACATGTCGTCTTTTCTTGGACAAGAACTCATGTACCAGCTTGTCAAGGACTGGATAGCAAATCTCATATTAGGCGTGGTCAAACCTCGCGATTCTCTGTGCGATTCACCTTGCGATTCTAGAGGGTGAATCGCAAGGTGAATCGCGCGTGCAGGTTTGACCAGCACACTTGTACATGTGCGATTCACCTCAATATACCGACCCTTGATCTTAAAATTACATAATATAAAATTAAAGAAATAGTTTTTTTTTGTGCATATACATTTGGCCATGTCAAGAAGGACTTGATATGTGTGCAGTGATGTGCAAGAAGATGACAGAGCTTGGTAGCAGAGAACACAAGGATTTTTTGCAGAACAGAGGACAGTATGTATGCTGTAGTGCTCACAAGGAAGAGGCAAATCATCTTATTGTTTTTTGGAATTTAGAGGTGAAAAGAAGCTTAGTTTTATTTTTGTAATACATGTACATATTTGGAAATAGATATGAGTAGAGGTGAATCGCGGGGGTGAATCGCAAGGCGAATCGCGTCAAAGCGCGATTCACCTTTCAGCGCGATTCACCCCGAATCGCTGGGGTTCCGGGGTCCGCGATTCACTTTGCATGAAAGTGAATCGTGCAGGTGAATCGCGCACTGAATCGCGAGGTTTGACCACGCCTATTACAGGCAATATTAATGAACGAGCGCCCCGACTTAAGTATGACGAGTTTGCAGCCATCTTTCTGGTCATCACCCAACTCGACTCAGTTTACCACATGGGGAATGCTGTATGTGAGCCTTACCTCGTGTGTTTGTATCGCACATGTTTACTTATTTGACCTGAACTCTTACAGTGACCAGTCAGTATTCTGACTATAGGGACACGCGTCACACACCTCCTGGTGGCAGTGATTATGGGCGACTTCCTGACGCACCTGAGTACAGTGGAGGCAGAAACAGACCTTCGTATTATGGAGCCGGTGGCTTCTCAGCCGGGACGTCCTAGTGGACCAGTATCCGGTGCAGATATACTTGAATATATGCGCCCAAATAATTTGGTCATCTACAGGTCACAAGTGCTCTGGCAATAGTTCAGGTCTGTAGGTGCTGATAAAGTAGTGGTACGATTTTTGCTTCTGACCTGCAGCACTACTTAGATACATACTATCCTCTTTTGTCTTCCCCTTTAGGTATGTATCATGTTCCCCTCTTTTGTTCCCCTTTTACTTTCCCCTTTGAGTATAGACCATTTCCTTAGTATATATAGTTAGTATTCTTTGCCTTTGTTGTATCAGTTTGTATTTCTGACTGTAACAAAGATACTTTTGTCCTGTCAGCTTTTGTGTGTTGCTACAAACTCAGAACTTGTTCACAACAGTGTCCAGCACTTCTGTAGTACTGTTCTAATATGTTAAAAGGCTACCAAAATCCCTTAACAAGCAAAACAACAGAAGCTCAAAAGAAAAAGTATAAGTAAACAGTTACTACTTCTACTACTACTACTACATTTGTCTCAACCTACACTTACTGTAGCAGTATTTATTAGAGACATTAACAAAACAGTACTCATTAAAAATGTTAATAAAACACTAATGCTAGAATCTGTATTTGTAGAAGCCTTAGTATCAAACTCTAACAGCTTACCTGTTGAATCTACTCTATCTGCTGAATCTGATGTATTCTCTGTATTCAAAGTACAAGAGGATAGTATCATACAACTTTATGAACTCATTTGACAAAACAAAAGAAGTCATTAAGGACTTCAAGTACAATCCAAATGTATGTATCAATATAATACATTATAATGATACTGAACTAATACATTGTGTTGATATATTAAACTCTGGCACAAATGTACACACTACTCTATACCTGTTCTGTCTTACAAATCTCCAGAACTTGACTCTAATAAATGTTACAATTGTGAATAAATTGTCATTTACACTTAGTAAAAGTAGAGTAATGACATTTAACATAAAACTACAAGACAAAGACAATGAGCATACTAAGGTGAATATGATTTCACTACAAAACATATACTATCATCCTAATCTGAACTTCACACTTGTTAGTAAAGTGCTATTATACAAAGTAGGATATGTTTTAACAAAAACAAATAATGAATGTATTTTTATACATTCCCCTACTCATACAAAGATTGGTGAAATACATGTACAAAATAACTTGTATATGATAGTTTCTCATCATAATAAACAATCTATTAACACAATTACTATTGTTGATTTACATTAATGAATGGGTTATGTTAATTTCAATTACTTGTACAAACTTATACAAGAGTATCCTAAGATTATAAGTCAAAGGATAACAGACAATAAAAATGTACAGTGTACAGATTGTATTAAAGCAAACATACAATGTAATGAAATACCAAAAATATGAACTACACCTCTTGCACAATGTTACAGAGATTATCTCTACATTAATATTTAGGGACCCACTCTAGTACAAGCTTACAGTAAGTACAAATATCTTTTTACCATTATAGACAATGCTACACAATAAGTAACTATACTACCTATACAGTATAAAAGTGATACTTTTACTGAATATGTAAAGCACACAATGAGACTCTTTACACAATACAGTATAAGAGTTAAAACTCTTCAAAGTGATAACAATACAGTGTTCCTAAGTAAAGACTTTACTACATATATTGAAAGTCAAGGAACAATACACAGATTAACAGTACATAATACACTACAACAAAACAGAGTTGTAGAACATATGTATAAGACTATCTTTAACAGTGTACATACATGTCTGTTATTAGCAAAGTTACTTATAAAATTCTGGGTATATACAGTACAATATTAAACGTTTATTTATAACAGAACACTAAGAGTTGCTATTAATTTTACAACACTATATTACAAACAGTATAACAAACATTATCAAATAGATAATATACAAGAATTCAGTACATATTGTATTATACAAAACAAACAAATGTATAAACTACAACCTAGAGGCTAATAGCTGTGCTCAATTCTTGTTTTTAATGCTCTGTATTTTGTTCCCTAGCATGTTACTGAGAGTTGGAAGAGAGTAGAAACCAGTAAATACAGGGAGAGAAATACAGCTAAGAAATGAGCACCTTAAGTAGCACAGATCCATCATTTCTACTCTATTTTCTTGTGTCTCACTGTCAACATAGAGCCTACAGACCAATATTTTATATGTTAACTACATACCTGAGATGAGACTTAAACCACCTAGTAGAATAATAGTGTAACAGTTTATACATGTAATTATCAGATTTGACAACTGTATATAGGCCTCTTGGCCCACTTTATGGTTGAAGTTGATATACAATTAAAATGAAAATAAGGCCTTCCCAAGCCTCTTTATCAGTTTCAGCATCTAACAGGACAAGTAGACCAAATATTTTCAGAATATACTGTAACTTGGCTAGATGGTGGTAGTAGGGCATGTTTTTGTGTGTGTCTCAATTATTCTAACAATTATCTATACCTACACTTATGTCTTAGATCTACAGGTATGTAGCAAAAGTCTTTGTCATTCCTTAAAAGGTAGATGTATTTGTAAGTGATTTGCATACCATACATAGAAATTAGATGTAGGACAAAGCTTTGATCTATACATTGTGAAGTACAAAAAATACAGAATTTTACATTATTTTCACAAAATGGCTTGTATTTTTCATGTCTTTTGTGTGTATAATGTGTTCATGTATGCTAGAAATGTAAGACAAAGGTTTAATGTGTCTCTGACAGTCTTATAAGTCAATGCAAATCACTTACAAATACACTTACCTTTTGAGGAATGACAAACACTTTTGCTACACACTTGTATGTAAGACTGCTAGACTAGCTGTTCTCTTAGTTTCATTCTCCAACATGTAAAATACATGAAATACACCTCCTCAAGGTGTGTCTACTGTTTCTAAGGCACACACAGAGATCCTACTCAAAATGGAAGTAGACCCTAGATCTACCCTCCCTAACATTCCTTCTACCAAGGTAAATATTTGTCAGATACAAGAATTGAGCAGGGCTAATACACACAATAGTTAGGTTATAATACTGACAGTAAAGGTCACTTAGTGTACCATGATAATAAAGTTACTGTCAAACACAACATACAATTCATAGACAAACCAATGTTTAGGATTGAAGAGGAGAATAATCATAACAATAATACATTAAACAATAATAAGACTCTTCCTAATAACAATAATAACAACAAAGAACCTGTCATACAACACTCTACACAAGAGTAAAGACTAGTTAAACAAATTATAGGTTTAAATTACAAAGATAATATAAACCTAGTTATGTATCTAACAGAATTTAACAAATTCCTTAGCAAAATCTATAGCAATCCATTAATGTATTACAATACTATAACACACATAGACAAAGAACAGTAGATTAAAGCTATGAAGGATGAAATACAGTCACTTTAACAATGAAATGTATAGGTATATACTATCCCTCCTATGAATACAAACATAAATGGAACAAAATTTGTCTATAAGATCAAAAGACTGGCTAACAGTCAAATAGACAAATACAAAGTACAATTTGTAGTGTAAGGATACACTCAAAAGAATGGAATAGACTTCTATTCTGACAACTTATTTGCCCTAGTAACAAAACTATTAACAGTACAATTATTGTTATCTTAGACAGTATCTAAGAACTACAAGATACATCAGATAGATGTAAAATCTGCATATCTTTACAGAGAACTAAATGAGGACAAGCTCATTTATATGAAACTGCTACTAGGCAAGCTACTTACAGATATTAAACCTGGACAAGCATTACATTTACATAAAGCATTATACAGATTGAAACAAGCAGGTAGACAATGGTACAAGAAGATTACCAAACTACTGCTTAAGATTGGATTAGAACAAGCTAATTATGATCACACTGTATTTTATAAGAAACAAAATAATAAAATGATTCTTATAACATTTATGTATGTTGACAATATTACAATTATTAGCAAAACTATTACTATAATAACAGTATTTAAATATGCATTAAAACAATACATTACATTTACTAATGGTAACAAAATACATTGGTTACTTAGTATTGAAATAAGCTGAGATAGACTTTAACAAACAATTAGCTTACAGTAAAAGTATTATATTGAAAGTATAATCAAGTGTTACCACTTCAAAAACAAAAAGGCACTACAAACACCTATTACTCCTAGAATATGGTAGGATTGTTAAGATATGTTACAGATTGTACACAGCCAGACATATCTTATATTACTGGACAATTAGTGTACTACTTACAAAAGCCCCAAATGTATTACTACAAAGTAGTAAAACATTGCTTTGTGTATTTGAAATATACAACAAATTACTGGCTTCAACTTGGAAGTACAAACACCTTCAAACTATGAGACTATTGTGATACAGACAGACAAATAATAGAAGGACATAAAGTAATAAACAGCTACATCTTTCAATTAGCTAAATTGACCATATCTTGGTCAAGCAAACAGTAAAACCTAGTACTATTATCTGTTTACAAAGCTGAGTTGTAAGTACTGGCATATGCTACTCAAGAAGCCATTTGACTCAAACAATTTGCTGAAGAGGTACTACAGACTGAATCAGCACCCATTACAATTTATTGTAATAACCAAGGTGTAATAAAGACTATAAAGTCTGACAAAATAACATACAATACTTGTACTAAACACCTTGATTTACAAAAAGACTTTGTACAATGTTACATTCAAAACAATTACATTAATGTATACTATGTCTAATTACAGAATCAATTAGCAGACATTCTTACAAAAGCTCTCCATGTCCTACAGATTAAGCATCTAATCAAACTATTAGGCATACAGTCTTAGTTCTTAATTAATACTTGAAGGGGAGTATTAGATTACACTCTAGATTAAGAAACCCTTAATTGCCTTATGTAGTGTTACTGTACTTAGAATGTCTCAGACTCTCAGACTTTACTTTGTAGTATATAAGGCAGACATTTGCTTAATGTCTTAATAAGAGAGAGTTGGAGGGCACTCCTACTATACTTGTTAAAATAGTCAGTAAACAAGAACTAGTGTAACAAAAGTGTAGACATAAGCTTTATATACTAGAGAAGAAAAGGAAGGTAGCTCAGACTAAAGGGAAGTGTAATACAAGTAAAAAAGGAAACTATATGTATGACTTAGAATCAGAACTAAGAATGAGTAGCTTAGAGCTTAGAACTACAAACTGTATGTATAGCTCAAGACTATACAAGAGAGTTCTAGAACAGAACCCTTAGAACCCTCAGAACTGTAGTAAGCTATATAGTAGGCTTACAATTGCTTACCAAATTCTGACCTGTCTTTTTACACTCTACCTGTTAGAATACAAACATTTATTAGTATATATAGTGTAGTTCAGGTGTTAAGCCTAGCTTAACATTACACCCTTTTAGTGTAGAGGTTCTATACATAGTCTACTGTACATAGTAATTCCTTACACTACTCTAGTATATTTCTAGTATACAAAAAACAAAATTCTATAATTTATCCTTATACAATTACAATTACAATCCAATTATTAAACTAAAACAAAAAACCTCAGTCCTATAAGTTACAATTATCTAGACATGTGAAAAAAAAGAGAGATCCTATTAATGTATTAATGTATACATAATAATCATATTGAAATTTTGTTTTTTTATACTCATTCCTTTATCTCTATTTTGTAATTAGTGAGACAGTAAGACTTAAAAACTTGGAGAACTTGATAAAAAGGAAAGAGTAGATAGTGGATAGTGGATAGTAGATAGTAGATAGTAGATAGTAGATAGTGAATAGTGAGAGGTTAGGAAAGATATATATATATTAATATAACAATGTGTGTTGAGTGCTAGACAAACAAAACATATTGGAAGGGATGAAGTAACAAGGGAAAAGGGAAAGGATGAAGTCATCTTGGTAACACTATTAATAGAACAAAAAAACCAAACACAAAAGAGTGACAAAAAAAAACAGAAACAAACACAAATTGAGCTAAGTATTTAACTTAGGAAAAGAACAAACTTTGTCTGTATCTGTATCTGTATCTGTATCTGTACAACCCCTCAACAGTATACTATATACTGGATACTGGATAGGTCTGACAGTATTGATTGATCTGAATTGAGCTGATATTAAGGAACACACAGTAAACAAAGTATTGAAGTAAACCCTCAGTATCTGGTAACTGAGTAACTGATATCTGATAAACTGGTACCTAGTAATTGGTAATTGGTAATCGGTAATCGGTAATTGGCAATTGGCAATTGGCAATTGATAACTCAAGTAAAAAATGCACGTAAACCACGAAATACTTCATTGTATTGGAGAACGAAAGAGAGCGTGAGAAACCGAAGTCGAAAAGCCGAAAAAAAAATTCGAAGGATTGGAGATTTGTAAAGCCGAGAGTGTGAGAGTGGGAGCTTGAGAAAGGAAGGAAAACGAAAGGAAAGACCAAACTGGAAAGGTAAAAAAGAAAAAGAGAAAACCAAAGCTAAAAAACGAAAAACGAAAAACGAAAAACGAAAAACGAGAGGAGAGACGGGAGAGAGACAGGAGTACAAGAAGAAACTGAATACCAAAAACTCATTAAGCGACGATAAGCCACGTGAAAAGATAACATAATGTAAATGTGTGGATGGATGGACGTGTAGAAATTTGCTTCGAGGATGAGAGGATGGTGGATGAGAGGATGAGAGGGTGAGAGGGTGAGAGGATGGGATGTGGAGAATAATGATGGGATGGTAGACGTTAGACGAAGTGCGGAAGATGGAAGGTGGAATGCGGAAGATAGATAGTTGACGGATGAGGCAGAAGTGTATAAGTCAACCTAAATCGTTGAGAGAGAGAAGAATCGTGACGTGCAGAGTGGTTCGAGTGCGATAATTTGCGTTTGCTTGTTCGTCGGCTGGTTGATATTTACGTGCGTGTAGTTACAAATGCGAGGGGGTCGTACCGAGGACATCGACCATCGACGGCGTGCGCTTGACAATTTCATGCGTGTATGAAGGAGAGGGCGTAACAAGACGTCATTTGCAACAAAAAGAGGCAACTACAGCTTCAACTCAGTAAGCACCCGACGCGCTAACATCTGGTATTGCCATCCGTCCCCACCAACGCGTCGGAATTGGATTCCGTGTAAGGGTAACCAAGGCACCTAGAAACACCATCATCGTTAGCAAAACGTCCAATTCCAATTATTCCAATTCCAATCGCAATCGCAATTGACTTCAATTCAAAATGGAAATTCGGCGAATGGAAAAATCGGAAAGAGTGGAGGGGGGGGGACCGGAAAACCGACAACTCACCTTAACGATATTAATCTCAAACCTAACACTCAACCGACTCGCACCCATCGCATCAAACACATCCTGATCAACCTCTCCAGTCGGGTATCGGTAAAACGAACCACCAGAAGGGAACGCGGAGGGTGGTGGGGCGGGGGACATTGCTCTCTCCCTTTCTCTCTCCCTTTCCCTTTCTCTCTCCTGAGTTTGAGTTTGAGTTTGCGGTAGTTGAGAAGGGGGTTGGTATGAGGGAGACGGAGATTGAGGTGAAGGAGAAGGCTGTTGAGCGAAATCACGAGGGATAGGAGGGAGGTGTTTTTGTTTTGATGGACTCTCGTTCGGGTTCGGGCTCGGATTCGTAGGAGTGGTATCGTTAATCGAATTTGCGTCAAGAGCAGGACCAGCACCGTTCGTCGTCGTCGTCGTCATAGCGTCCCCCTTAATCGTATGCGTATTCGACGAACCATTATACGAACTCTCACTCCCACTCTTCTCACTCCTCTCCGACGTCGCCGAGTTCACAGTCGCATTATCCGCAGCGCCCTTCGGATTTGGATCCAGTTGTTGTTGCGGAGATACTTGCTGTGATTGAGGCGGTTGAGGAGGTGGTACGACGATGTTAACGTTATTCGGTGCATCTTTGTCTTTGTCTTTGTCTTTGCCTTTCAACCCAAAACTCAACTTCGACGCCTTCTTCGTTAACGATCTCCGTACCCTCTCCCCTCCTCCAGCACCATCCCGTCCATCCCGTCCGTCATTCTGAGAAGTCAACCCGAATTGATGAGACCTCCTCGACCCCGAAGCCCCAAGTCCTCCCCCACTCTGCACGGAGGACAAATCAATAGAAGGAGCATGTATACACACAAACCCTCCCTTCGTCTCCCTATACTGTACTTGCATCCTATCCAACACACGTCGGATATCTGCTTTGATAAGGGAGGGCGGTTTGGACGAGGTCGTCGATACGCTAAGTAAAAAATTAGGTCAATCGATTTGAAAATCAGTTATAATACTTCTGCAACAACAAACCTGAAAAGTCCCTTCAAAAACACAGGCTTAAACTCCTTATCCCCCCCTCTCTCCTGCTCCACCTCATCATCTCCATCGCTCTTCAACAACCCTTCCCTTCGTCTGCCCTCATCTCCTTCACCTTCGCCCTCCCGCTCCTCCTCTTCTTCTTCTGTATGTTCGAATATTCGATCACCTTTCACGGGTGTCCCACCCGCACCCGCACCTGCACTCGTACTAGGCCTCCTATGCCTTCCTATAGTCCCAGAAGCGAAGAGCGCAGCACCCGTACTACTCCTCCTCTCATGCCTCGCCGCCCGACCCGCAGGGTCCAGTATTGTTGCTGCACGTCGGTGTGCGGAACCTACGGGTTGACTCGCGCTGTGTCTGACAGTACTAGCCGCGTTCTCCTTCTCCTTCTCCTTTTCGTTCGAGTCTTCGACTCGTTTTTCGAGAGGTAAATCGAGTGTCTCCTGCGCCTCATCCCTCACATCCCTCGAAGGCCTCGGCGAATGCCCACCCCCACCAAAGATACTCGTTCGCTTACTCCGTCTCGAATCATCACCTCGCACACCACCAAGTAACGTTCCAAACTTCCTCACAAGTGTCGCTCCAGGTGTACTCGAAGAAGGCGGCTGCGCAGGGCCTACACCGAGCTCTGCATCTTGCTCCGACGGTAATGGTCGTTGCTGCTGACCTTCTCCCTCATCCCCCATCTTCTCGCGGTCCACATTCATCCTCTCCGCAAACGTCCCCACCTCTGGTCCCGCAGTAGCAGGTTGCTCACGGTCATGGTGCCCAGCAAGCACCCCACCCCAATGCCTAAGCATCCCTCCCGCCCCCGTCGTCGGCCTCTGACTCAAACTATGACTCCTCCTATGCGTAGACGCAGGCGGCGCACGAGGCAATAACGACGTTTTCGCAGGTGTCGAAGGTGCACTTACAGCTCCAGCTTGTGCAGTTGCAGGGGGTTCCTCTCCTTCAGCGCCGCCTGGACCAGTACTGGATTTCGGCACAGTCAACCCCCCACCGACACCCCCACCTACGTTTCTCGCACGTGGTTGAGGGTTAAAAGCAGGTGAAGTGGGTGAAGGGACAGCTTGCGGTACGTCATATGACATACCCGAATAATGTGTATTAGGCGGAGCAGGCAGACGTGGAAGCGCCATGTTATAATCCGCTTTCGCATCAGCAGCAGGCGGTTGTGGTTGTAGTTGTACCTGTTTTCCGTTCACTTTAGCGGGGGAGGTGATACCAGGCAAGTGCTTCATCGCACTCGGTGGTGCAGAGCTAGTGTCCTCCCGCCCGAGCAACGACATCTGCGAACTTGCGAAATGTCCCGGGCCATACACACGTTCACGTTCCATCTTCTCCCGTGCAAGGAAATACATCGAGATAAGCGGATGATAACCACCCGTCGGGTCCGGCGGCTCGCGTTGCAGATCCGTCAACGAAGCATGCGAAAGATGCGACGTCGACGTAGGCGGAGACCGATGATGCATCGGCGTATCAGGCGGCGACGAACTCGGTGAGAAAAACTTGCGTCGATAAAAGTCAAATCCAGAAAACCGACGGCTTTTTTGTTTTGACGGAGTCACTGGAGCAGCAGCGTCGTTAGATTGACCTGAATCATAAGATGCAAGCGACGCATTCGAGACACCACCATGTCCGTTCCGTCCCTGCTGCCGTTTTCGCTCCCAGTGCTGCACAGCACGTGTATACGCATCACTCTCCAGTATCTCGACAAGTTTCCGCTCGATGTCGTCCTCCGAGCCAAACTCGAAGCCAGACATGCCCTTGATGATCAGCCTGTCGAGGTCGTCCGCCCGCAGGGGCTCTCGATGGAGCATGTGTGGGTCTGGCGGACCGTGGCAGCCGCGGACCATCCACATGTGAGCAAGCACCTCCGACAGCGGTGCGCGCGCAGCCGGGTTTACAACAAGCATTCGCGTCAGCAAATGCTTACACTCTGAAAACCCAGCGGATTGATGAAACACGTCAGTCCAACAAACTCGTATCCTAGAAACCTCGTAAAAATAGCCCGCACCTGAACTCAGCCAGTCCGGATATTCCACGAGACCGCGTTTGATTTTCGCGTGAAGGGCGGGCATGCTTTGGTCGTCGAAGGGCACCTTCCCACAGACAAGCACGTAAAGCACGACACCGAAGCTCCACACATCCACCTCGGGCCCGGTATACACCTTTGCATTCAAAAGTTCCGGGGCCGCGAAGTACAGGGAACCACAGAAGGTGGACAAATGCGCTGACGGATTATACAAATTCGACAGTCCAAAGTCAATAATCTTGATGTTCCCCGTCTGCGAGATGAGGATGTTCTCGATTTTCAAATCGCGATGGACGACGTTATTCCGATGACAGTAGTCGAGCGCACTGCCAATTTGGCGAGAGAATTTTCGCGCGACGCGTTCGCGCAGCCGCCCATGGCTGATGATATAATCGAGCATCTGCCCGCCGTTGACGTATTCCGAGACCATGTAGTAGTGGTTTGTGTGTGTGATGAGCTCGCGCATGCCGCAGATGTATGGGTGATGGAGGAGCATGCAGAGCGCCGCCTCTCTGATCGTCCGGATCTCTTTCGACGCATCTTTCGTCGCCTGTTTCGCTGCAGCCTCGGGTGTCTGAGGTTGCCCGTTCGCATTCGCGTTTGCTGCAGTTGCTCGCGGGATAATCTTGATTGCAAGCTATTATAGACGCGGAATAAAAGTTTTAAGTAACCAGAATAACAAGAGCAAGAAAAAAACAGCATACCTTCTCGCCAGTGATATTATGATACGCAAGCTTGACCTTACCCATACTTCCCGCACCAACAGTCTTACCAAGCGTATAATCTCCAAGCACACGGTTCGAGCTGCGCGGTTTCTGTGTTCTGTTATTGCTGTTATTCATGCTGGTGTTCGCCGAGTTCGGTGTCTGTGTGCTTCCCGCAGGCCCGGGAGTGCTTGGTGCGCCGATAGGCTCGAGCGCGTCGCCACCGCCTCCGCCACCAGCGCCTGCGGAGATGTACTGCTGTGGGGACATGGGCATGGAGAGCGGGCGCGGGCGGGCGCCGTTAAGTGATGGCTGGCGTGGGGTGGGGGATGCATGGGACGACGGCGGACGTTCTGCTAGGACAGGCATCGCGTGGGAAGCTGCGTGCACACTTTCTTAAGGACGTCGGTGGTTATTGATGTAAGTGCTGCACGGTGCTGGTCGTGAGTTGCTGAGGGTGTGATGGGGGTGAGCGACGACAGACAGCGACCGAGAGCCGCCGTCGACGTCGTGGACGATGAGGAGAGAGCTGATGATGTCGCAGTGTCGAACCAAGCACTGCTGACTGCCCCAAGATCCGTGACATGTGACTGTGACTCTTAAAAATATAGCGCATCTCCATCATTCCAATCGCAGAGAATCTATGCAGTTACTTATAGGTTATACGGTGGTACGTGCACACGTTCGTTGAGTAGAGCACATTGCACGGATTTTTTCAACAAAATAATGAAAAAACCTACACAAAAAAGCAAGTCATTGCAAGGTACAAAACAGCACCGCCGTCTAATCACTGTCTCCAAAAACAAACAAAGCAAAACATATCAAATTATCAATTGCCTCAAAGCAGGATCCAAAAACACGTCCATTGCAAAAAATAGCATTAGGCGTCTTCAATTCATTGGCAGGGAGACTTGCAGAAGCAGTTTCAGCAACCCAGAATGAGATGGTGCAAGTAGTGCAAGTCCCTCAAAATTGAGGAGGTGACTTGCAAGGATCTACAATCAATTAGTTAATCATATTTGTAATGTAATTAGGTACATCTTCTAATCTTAAAAAGGTAATTTAAATATGCAGAGTGAGACATGAGGTGAAGTTACACAAAAAAAATGAGAATTGTGCCCTCCCTCCTCCTCAGACGTCTAAGATGGGGCCAAATAACCTTCAGGATAATCCCCAGCATTCAACTCAACCACAGACACCAGTAACAAATTTACAAGGCATGCAAATGCATGCATACAACCAGCTGACTCCTTTGCATATTCAGCTTCACCCAACGTTCTTGACTTCCAGCACACCTAGTCCAAGCCCAAATTCTCCTACACTCAATACAGAGTTTCCAGAGAATGCTACAGGCCTTGTAGCATTAAACTGGACTCCAGTTCAGCAGCCCCAATCGTTCCAGGAGCAGAATTCAGCTCACCTTTCATCTCTGGCTCTACAGTCCACTCAAAGCCCCTCTCCAGCACTAGAGAAGTCAAAATCTAAAGGAAAGGTGAAGGAGAAAGCTGCACTGAAAAAGACAGGAAAAGGTATGTACCATTTCTCTCTGCATTACTTTTTATGTGTCAGGCTTCCTTTTCAGCATATTTTTGAAAGAGCATGCTCACTGTTTTCAAGGGTCACAATCTGGAAAGAATGTGCATGCTTCTAGTGCTTCAGATATAGAAATTAGCAACTTAACTGAAAAGATGAAAGATGATGCCAAGGTATTCAATGTGAAAGAGACGAAGGGAAAGGCTTCATAGGATGAGGAGAATGAGAAGAAGCTTGCTGAATTCATTTGTACACTAGAGCAATGGTCAAAAGTGTAGACATCTGTTAGTAGGATTTGCCAAGAGGTGAATACTCACCTCTCTGTGTTGCTTTTTATGTGCTAGACTTCTACAACTTTGTCTCCAGGCTTCCCAGACAATCTTGAAGGAATATACAACTGAGCAAGTCACTACAAAGTGGCATTCCATGTTCAGGACATATAAGGACACAAAAAGTAAGTATAACACTCATTGTACAAGACTGTATAACTTACCTGGACTGGAACTACTGAACAGGATGGTTAAACCATACTGGAGGAGGAGATGGGGACAGTGACATACCAGGAATGTGCACCTCTGTTGCAATCTGTGCCAAATTTGCTGAAGGACCAATATTTGCTATCATTGATTGTGTGTAAGTCTTGCATGCTCTTAGGCTTGTTTAATTCCTGAGTTAATACATAAGTTTCTCTATTTTGAAGTGCAGAAGGCTGTCCTGATATTGAGAGGCCCATAGAATTCAGTTCAGGATGTAGCTTTGAGGATATTGAAGCAGATGTTGAGGAGGACAAGAAGAAATGCAAGAAAACAGATCCTGCCACCAAATTCACTGAAGTTGTCAGTGAGGCCTTGCATCTTGCACAGGAATGTTAGGAAAAGATGGCCAAGCTGGAAACCAAGCGTTTTGTATACCAGAAGCAAAAGGACAAGAAAGACAAAGAATACTAGTGTAAAAGAATGTGGTCTGAAGATTGAGCCACAGAGATACAGATGCTACACAACTTAGAAGACCTGCAAAACCTCAAACTTGATAGGTACTGTGTGTTGTGAGATTCAGAAGACCCTGTGGAGAAAGAAATGGCTGCCAACTTTCAGGATGAACTCTGTAAGATAAGTCAGAGAATCTGAGAGCTTTGCCAGAGTGGAAAGCAGTAGAAGCAGTATAGCATATTCTAGTAATTTGATGCTTTCCTCACAATTGTCATACAAATACTCGTCCAGACAGATTAGTAGAGAAGTACAATGCAACATAATTGCCTCTTCAATATCCTCAATTTGGCTGGTTTGGTGAAATCGTTCTATCAGAGCACTTACCAACTTATTTAGATTGCTAGTCAATAATCATGGCCCTCTGGGCAAAGTGTCAGAGTGGTGGGATATAGTGCAATTGACTCCTCAATATCAGTGCTCTTGAACTCTTGTAACAATAACGTGTCTACAAGGCCTTGTAATGATTCTAATTGTTCAGGCATGTCCTTGTGAATAAGTGTGAGAGTATTGTAATACAGTGAAATCGATTCATTAAGCCTATTGTTACTTATGATACCTAATTATTTCTGCTGTTCATATGTGCAAGTAGGTTCTTTCTATGTTGTAAACCTGTGCAATAGAGATCAGTACTAACCATTTGATTAATATTTCTTACCTGTTCTGCTGCCATTTTGTCTGGTTCAGCCTCAACTGCAGGAAAGAGGCCTGCATTGTTGTGACCATTGTAGTTTGCAATTGTAGCAGGGTTGTTGTTTAAGTCGATTAGTATATTATGAATGACCATCAAAGCCTCAATTGTCATGTAAATTATATTGAGTTTATGTCCAGGAAAGCTCCAGAGGGATGTGAAACAACCTTTAAGCATTCTAAATGCATGCTCAATGACAATACAGTAATGTAAGAGCTTGAAGTTGAAATCTTGCTGACAGTAAGCCTCTTGAGGGTTGTTTGTAAGCTCATAATCAGTGAACAGACAGATTGTGTACACAGTGAGAGGATAACCTAAAGAGACAGAAATATTAGTAGTAGAACTAGTAGTATGATGAACCCTATAGTGTTCTAGGAGATTATAATGAATCTACACACCTTTATCAGCTAAAATGTACTCATCAGCATTGAAATGCTCCCCTAAAGACTTCCATACCCTGGACTCTTTGAAGACAGTAGTATCCTGAACATTTCCAGGCCAACCCAAGTCAAATTCTGTGAAGCACTTCCTGTCATCACAGATTGCTTGAAGAACAATCTGAGAGGGGTTTTGTGAGAGAAATGCAAAAAGACAAAAAGACTATTTACTTACTGAATAGAATCTTTTCCTACTGAAATACAAGTTGCCATCTTTCCTAGGTTTTGTAGAAAGTGGGATGAGAGAACTGTCCACCATACCAATACACCCAGGAAAGCCTTCTGCCTGGAAATGTCTCTTCAACTCCAAACAATGTTCACCAGCAGGCCAGGCAAGAAAACAAGACCTCAGCTGGCAAAATGCAGTACAAACACAGTGACAGTACAGAGGTACTGTGCTCTCTGCTACTGAAGCCTGCTCAGTAGCCTTGATGCCTGTTGTACCACTATACTGTAGGAGAAATACAGTGAGTTGCTCCTAGTGAGGCCATTAAGCTTGTTTACTAGTCTTCATAAATACTTCATCATCCTTTATTAGATTGTAGAGAGTCTTGAATGATGTACAATCAACCCTAGAAGAGTTGTGGATTAGAATGTGGTAGCATGCATATGATTCATAACCTTCATACACACCTAAAGAATGCCTTAAATATATATTCTGAGGTACCAAATAACAGATTATTAAGGAAATCTTCAGAGTGGGATGCATTGTATGGACCACAAATGGAAGGACAAGTGTGAAGGAGTAGTCAATAAGCTTTGTGTGCAAGAAGAAGGCCAAGCAGCAAGTCAAATTCAGTCTCATTGTACAATATGCAGAAGATGGATAGAGCCCCCATACTTATAGCATATTTTCGACTGTAATAAGATGACCCAGCCATGTATTAAGGAGAATGGAGAGTATAAGATACAAGAATTTCACTCAATTCATACTCAATGTATGCTCATTACATACTTTCTATGTGATCACATGACTGTGCTTCTTTGTATATATCATGCTTCTCAAGGATTTATGTTGGTTCAAGCTAACAAATAATATATTTCTTTTCAAACTCTGTAGCTTTGCAAGTCCAACAAGTGGGTTTTGTCACTTGTACAGACTTGCACAGATTTCTGCTACTTTTGGTAACTATTAAGGTATGTGTCACTTTGCCAAGCCACCCCAAAATCTTTGTGTTGTCCTGCAACTCCCCCTGCCAATGAATTGAAGACACCTATTGTGTGTCTAGTGTCCTTCTCAAGAATTGGTAACAAAGCTAGAAGGAGCCATGCCCAGTTGCAGAGCTATTTGCTTCAAAACAGGCCTGTTACTGTGTAGTATAAATACAACCTCAATTCCTTGTTCCTACACTCACTTAAGGTAGACAAAACATAAACTCAACTAGCTGTATAATGCATGTGATCTACCCTGAACTGCCTAAATCAGACACAAACTATGACAAGGAAACTTGTTCAACCACAGAGCCAAAATTCACAAAGTAGCACTATAGAATTGTTAGAATTATGCTTTTCTACAGAATGATGTAACAGATTTTCAAAAAAATAAAAAATGACCAAGTTATTTCCAAAAGACTATTAGCCCTCCTCAATTCACTTGCATAGGGGACTTGTGTGGGGGCTGTAGCATGAAGAAGACTGATGCTGCAAGCAGTGCAAGTCCCTCAAGAGTTGAGGATCAGACTTGCAGTAAGGATTGACCATCATTACTTAGGTTGCATACCTCTTAATGTACAGCTATGTAGAAAAAGTGTTTGTCTTTCCTGAAAAGGTAGACAGATTAGTAAGTGATTTTCGTCGATTTATTAGGCAGTTAGAGATGCGTCAAGCCACAAGACACACCTGAGGGACATACTGTAAGGGGCCTAATTAGAGGGTGTACAAGACCCTTGTAGTCCCTCTAATTAGGTACCTTTTGAGCTTTTCTCCCTAACTGTACTTAATACTAGACTTAAATAGTAAAAAAAATTCTAAGTCAAAATAAAATAAAATAAAATAAGTATGCTGAGTGCCCTATATGGCAACTGTGCCCTCCCCACCTGCCACACCTTGAGCTCACTGTCTCATACAGTGAGCACACACTTTCCTCTGTATCTTACTCAATTCTTAACCAAATTTCTTCATTATTCCTTTAAAATTAATGTAAATTTAGTTGGAACTCATTCATAACACAAATACAATGTTAAATGTATCAATTACTTGTGTATTTGTGTACTATTTGATAATAAAAAATACAACAGTTTCCTCTGACTAAGATTTATGATACTCTAAACTCTTAATACTGTAATAATAGTAGAGCTTATATATCTACAGTATATCCAAGAATTGAGTCTGTGTAATGTATACAAAGGAAGTTACACTATGCT